ACAACTTCCCATCCTGCATTATGATACCACACTCTCACCAACTTCTGCAACCTAGCAGCTGCCAAAAGCTCGCCGCTACTCATCTCATAGTCCCTCGGTAGAGCAGTGAAGATGCATCCCACCCTCTCCAGCCCCAACTTGGACATAACTACATCCACTTTCTGCAGGGCAGGATCTACCATTCCTCCCAGAACTCCAGGATCCAAAGGCTTGCCCTTCGATGCCTGATATAGAGACAGACTTATACTCAGTCGGCTGTACACAAGACCGCTTGTGAATGATCAAGCATGGCATCTCCCGATACCATCATACCACACCTCCCACAACTGTCCAGAGATCACAACCCATACCCCTTTAGGACCTCTTGCATAGCCACTAGCATCTCATTCATCCGAATGCCTCCAGTAGCCGCGTTATACACCTCCTGCTTCGGCGGCTCGTATATACCCTCTACCACAATTCGACATCCATCATCATAGTTAGGATCCGAGAGGTAGTAACTATTAGGATTTCCTCAAGGAGTGGTATGACTTATAACACTACCATTACCCATACAACCATCCACACCGTTGTTGTAGCATCTCCTTATCAAACTGAGACAACCAAAGCACTCATGCGCCCATCGCAAACCTAGTGTGTCCTCCCTCACCTGCCAATACTGGACGAATGACTTGATCTCCTCAGTGTTCATCCACTCACAATGGTCCACATGACGGTACCTAGATATGCAGCGCTCTCACACGCGGCGGCGGCTAGCTTCCCTTCACCACCTCTGCCGATTCAGCGTGAGAGCTGGCGGTAGCTTTGTCATTCGTCCCTTCTCCAACACGACCGTCTTGTAGTGTTGTGATAGGGGGAATAAAGAAGTCTCATACCTGGCAAGCACCAACTCCAATAAACTCTACTCCCTCGATCTGAATATTCCCTTCCAGCTAGAGATATCAATCTCACATGCCTCATCCGAACTTCGCACAACGAAGGGATCTAACTCAGCGACTATGAGATACCGTTTGGAATTCTCGCGGTTCCGATGGGCTATGGGGGCCACACTTTCCTACTTATGGTCTCTCAAATAGCTCTCAAAACTCTGGAAATTCCTCTTAGTCGCCTTCTGCTCTCCGTCCGCCGACGACGACGTCATTTTCACACAATTTAACAGACAAAAGTAACTAAGAGACATTAACCACGAGATACTATCAAATCCCATGCATTTTCTGATACGAAGCTGTGCTGAAGGGAGTTCATCAGACTGAATAGTAAATCCATGGCTGCAAAAACAGGTCTCGCTATCAACCCTGGATTGACTACAGTCCATCAATGTTTGCTGTACAGATTGAGATACGACTCTACGAGGAGTATGAAGTCTGCTGAGGGAAGCGCACTAGGGTGGCATGTGTTACATGTGGTGGAGAAGTGACTGCAAGCACATAACGACTTGTAGAACTAGTATAGTAACGACTGAACTTGGTATAGCTATCCGGCGTAGTAGACACTATCGTTAGCCGATCATCACTACTCACGGTCTCCAACTACTGATAAGAGATACAACTTCAGTTCATACTACTATGTGATGTGGTATTTCATGTTATCAAATTGATAACATAAACTTCTATGAAGACTTGATGCCAAACTTTTGAATTGCTGCTATTGCTTCGCATATCATGCATGCGCTCATGCCCTCAGGCACTCCACAATAAAAAAAGCTCTACTCTAAGAACTCACAAGGAAAACTACTCTACTCACCGACCATGGGCTCAATGGCACTTCTCACCGCGCGTACTCTCCATAAAACTAAAGCTGCCATCTTCGCACACGCATCTGCTACGTAGTTGAAAATAATACTACTCTCATCAGCGTTAAGATGTATTTTCCCCACGAGCTATACTCCACCTGATCTACGACCACCACCGCTTACTAAACTCAACACTACAAGTAGAGGTGCAGCGAAAAGAAGCCTCAACGACGTTCGGGTACAAGGCGACCAACAACACATTCTGAAGGACAGGAAGTCACATCAGAATCTCCACAAAATCTTCCGCGTGCGCAACTCGCCTGATTGAAAGAGTCATCGAAGATGTACAGGTCGACCGAAGAGAAGCACTGCTCATCGGACAGTGGTATCTCGTAGATGACGACCGGGGATTTACGAGCCGTCAGCTCACGGCCCCCGAGGTTTCGGAAAAAACGATAAAAAACTCAAATGTTATCTACACAAAAAGTAGCTCTCGATGCGAGAAAGCCTAGAATAATGATTCTGCGAATAGTAGGGTTGATCACGACCGTGTAGTTGCTGCGAACGTGGGAGTAGATACCGCATCGGACGAATAGGGGATGTTGAACTCTCCCAGTTCAGATAAGCCAGTGATGGCGGCAGTCCTCGCCAAAGGCCTTTCACTAGGAGGAGGATCACCAGCGACTGCATCGTGGTCCTCCGTGACAGAATCTCGATAGCCTTGTTCGATATCACGGTCTACCTGCGTGATTTGTGAGCGGCAGAGAGGACAGCGTAGCGAGCTGAGCACTTTCTCTCGAGGTAAAATTGGCAAGCCGAGATATTGAGGGGCATACATTTTCTCATAGGCTGTGTCGATGACGGAGTCGATGCATCTCTCATGAAACACATGACCGCACCTCAGGGTTATCAACGGGAAATCCATATCCTCCTCATCTAAGCATATCGCACACAAGTCCTGTGATGAAACCGTGGCATCCAGCGAGACCGTCGAAGCGTTCTTAGCCATCTCGAAGAAGGACTTCTTGTCCTCTACGGTTGGCATACTCGATGTCATGTCCTCGACCGAAAGTCCCAGGTCCAGATAATGAATAGCTCGCTTAAATCCATACCTTCTAACGAGGGTTGTAAATAGACAAACCAACGGCGCGAGTATCCATAACAACCCCACCATTGAGATGATGATGAGGTCCGAGAAGGTCCTGTGTAGGGCGATTAGGAGGATAAATGTCACCCCTACGCCCACGAGGCCGACCAACCACACCCATTTGAACCTCCCAGGGAGCGCGAGGTCTACCAGTGTGTCATCACCACTCTCTGCCATTCGTTGCAGCGGTAGTTGAAATCACTACTAAAGAAAAAACTACTCCGGAAAAACGGGAATACGAAACAGGACGAACGCAGAGACATACCCTCTCTGAGAACCGGTAATGAACTATACGGATTCCAGAAATTTTCAACTACACCGTCATCATAGTCCTCTGCACATCTCTGCGTGAGGAATATTGGTCGTATTTGTGTGTGTCGTTAGTGATAGTATGAGGCCCATACTATGAGCGATTGTTTCAGTCATGGAATATATGTTTGCTCGGCTCAGCTAAGCTCAGGAGTTTCCTCACTGATCATGGGAGTTTGCAAACGAATCAGGGTAGAAATGTTCAGAGAAAAACGTAAATTCTCAGAAATGTCCTGGGAATTATCAAATAATCACCGGCACATGTAGTCGGCCCTGCACATGTTTTCCATCTAGGAATTTGAACTTTCACTTTCGACCGGTCAACGAAAATCGAACTTTCATTTCGTGAAAGACTCCTTTCACTCGTCGAAAATCAAATTTCATCTATTTAGTTTGTTTTTCTACTTGTTGAATTTGAGAGTGAAAAGGTGTAGATTCAACTCCCAAGAGTCTTGGACGTTGCACATAGCCAGATCTTTTTCCAAATTTGTTGACAAGTTGTAAATCGCATGTCGTCAGGATAGACTCGTGATTCTAGCGCGCGCCGCATCGCTCCGCTTTTTTCGGTTAGGAGCAGGTTTTCACACTCTTTAAGGCGTACCTTAAAAGTAGGACGCTCCTTAAAAATGTAAAGTTATGAGTAAGCGCTCCTCAAATAAGGAGCGTAAGGAATTGCCACTTTTAAGGTACGCCTTAAGGAGCAGTTGGTAGGTTATAGGCCCGGTGACGTGCCGTGGACCATAGCAGTTCGATCGGGCCTGTCCTGTCATCTCTTCTACCAGTAAAATGTTTCCATAGGGGTCCATGAGACTGTGCAGGTAGATGATCGTGCGAATCCTTAATCTTGTTGGTGATCTAGTTTTGGTCGCTTCAATGTCAGCCACAGGCAACCTTGGATCGACCGAGACGTCCTCCTTCCTATCGAATCAACCACGCATATCATCCACGCCGATTAACGACGAGGAGGAGACCCATCAAGTTTTCAAAATCCAGGAATACTTCTACGAACATGACCTCGAGAATCTTCTGACTGAGCTCATGGTTGAGCTCGGCAGTCGAATGCCCGAAGACCCCACCCTCTTCATGTGCACCTACATACGAGAGTGGTTCAATTGTGTCGGAAGCACCACTATCAAGCGCCACGCTGCTCGAAGAGCTTCCACTGGCAGCCTCTCTTGCACACCAGAGAGGACCAAGGGAGGTCAGAAGGCGTCTAGTCCCAACCTGAGCTCCCTCGCTCACGACTTATCCAATGCCGCTCTCAAGAACATGGTCATGGCTAGAGTCACCATGCAGTTGGAGAAGGAACCTTCATCGATCAACAGCTTCGTCATGGAGTGGATGGAGGAGCATCCTACCAAAGTGCCCAGAAGGCCTAGTTTGGCACAAAGCAATGCGGCCTCTGCTCGTAGCCGAGTCAGCACTGAAGATGGCAACTCCAGCATGAAGGGTATCTTTTCACAAACCTCCTTTGCGCACAACGAAGGTTTTCCATATTCCACTGAGCTCTGTACCAAGTCTTTGGAAGAGCTCACGTCATGGGAGATGGACCGGTTGAGTCTTTCTGAGGAGGAGCTTGCGAAGAACGCTTTCAATTTGTTCCACGTATGGGGTTGTTTCAACGAGGTCTTGTCTGGAGAAGACGTCATAGAGTTCTCGAAAATGCAAAGTTTTCTGTTGTCTGTCGTTGCAAATTATAACTCTGCTATTCCCTACCATAATTTCAAACATGCGTACTCCGTTTTGGCCGCGGTAGGTCGGATACTGCGGATCTCGGGCGCCGACGTCTTCTGCTCTCCTGTGGACGAGATAGCCCTTCTCGTGGGGGCTCTCACTCATGACCTAGGCCATCAAGGCTTCAATAACGACTACTACGTCAAAAGGCGACACCCTTTGGCAATTCGGTACAACGATATCGCTGTTTTAGAAAATATGCATTCTGCGAAGACTTTTGAGCTCCTACTAGAACACAACAACAACTTCCTCAGCGAATGGACTGATGAGCAATATATGGAGTTTCGGAAAACGACTATCAACGCCATCCTGGCCACAGACATGAAAGTTCACTTCGACCTGACTACGAAGTTGCAGGAGCTCGGTGCCTCCCTGGGGGAGATCGATTACGAATCTCCTGAGAATCGAATATTGGTTCATAAGTGCGTCGTGCATGCCGCTGATATCAGCAATCCTGTATTGCCCACCGATTTGTATAAAAACTGGTCCTATAGAGTGATGAAGGAGTTCCATCACCAGGCAGAGGCGGAGAAGCTGCAGGGGCTTTCCTTCGCTCCCTTCATGGAGCACCACCCTGACGACGAGCTCGAGTTCGCCAAGCTACAACTGGGCTTCATCACTTTTGTAGCGGCTCCGTTGTGGAATGCAATGGCCGCAATATGGGAGGATCTAGGACCTAGAAGGGACCAGATGATTCGAAACGAGGCCTACTTTAAGGAGTTGAAGGAAGCCGCTGAGAAGCAGCAGCAGCAGTTGACGTCGTCCGAGGCTTGATTCTATCTTTAATTCTGACCGTATATCATTGTACATCTATTGCTAATCTGAATTTAGTATGTACTACTACTGTGAGCCATCAAGACTGCCTTCCTCATAGAGGGGCAGTAGTAGGAGCTATCGAGCTCAAGATTATAGTGGCCTCGTCGAACTATTCTTTCTAATTGTCGGTTAGTTTATATTAGCGTGCAGTTTGCTCTTCTATGGCAACCGGAACGGGGTCGAGTTCGAAAGTGGGAGGTGGCATTTCCTTTGGTGTTTCTACTTCACCGAGGCCGCAGTGGTGGATATCGAGAATATTCCCTTTTTACAATGTACAGTAGTTGACCTAATTTCAGAGGATGGTTTGCAGTGCGGTTACAGTTTAGAGGACCGGAGAGCTCTTATAGAAGCAGACGTTGGATTTCTTGGACCGTGCCATGAGGGAAAGAACTGACGAAGTTTTCACATGGATATGTACTACAGTGGGTGTAGGGCCTACCCTTAGATGTATAATCAGAAGGACTTCGGTTCTAATCCCGCGAGCGGCACTTTGAGGGACTTCATTAATTCTCGGCTCTTTCCAATAGGATCCCGTCTTCAACTGAGATAGAGAGCAGTGTCGACTACGACGGAGAGTTGGACCTCAGAGATCAGAATATTTTCATCGGGTCTATCCCCCCATAATGGAGTTATGCTGAGCAAAGTCATTGCTGATAATGGTCTTCTCTGCAACCAGCGTATCATCAATCACAGTACAAGGATGATGACACTTGCGGCATATGATTTCATTTGCCTCATAGTTGCATATTTCCCAGAGTGAGTCAACTTGCTCTGACCGGGTACGTCCCCCTCGTTACGTTCACATCTCGTATCGAGCCGAGCTGATGCAGTATGTAGAAGGCTGACTGCAGTTCGACTACCTTATGTGAGATTGTAGGTTGTGATTGGCGTAGTCGGGTTAGACTCTAAGGGACTAGACTAGTAAGATCTATTGCTCTACTGTTTGCTCTTGCCGGCTGTCCTTAGCGGAGGAAAGGACGAAAGACTAATTTGGAAGGCTACGAGAGCGATCCCGCAGTGACATCGTTTTCTCCCCTTGCGAATGACCAGTGCATTCTCACACGAAACGATTTTGGAATACAGTCTCGATCACCTCAAACAACTGTGATAATAGTAGAGTCGGTCACTGGGTGGGAGACAGGCACGTATAAGACGTGTCTTGTTATTTTTGATCGGCATCCATCAGCTCGTCTTCTGTAGTGTTTTTTGCCAATGTCCACTCTCAAAGGCGCCGACGCTCGAGCGAGGGACCTCCTAAGCTGTCTCCAGCCTCCTACCTCCGTCATCAGGATGCTCAAACGACGAAGTTGCCCTGAGGGGGAGGATGATGCTATCGATGCAGACTTGGTCGAGAGAGTGTGCGTGAAGTTGAGACGAGAAGAGGACAGTCGTGTACAGAGCGTGGGGGTTGGCTGTATTCTGAGAGAGGTCGGCGACGACCACCAACCCTTGATGGGAAACGTGGGTGTAGGTTGTGGGATTCGAACCCGCGACCTCTTCTGATGCTCGTAATTCAGTACCTACTGCCCCCGTTGTTGAAGACACTCACAGACTCCTCATTGATGGATGACGTAGGAGACGCTGTGAGGTAAGAGGCCCACATCATGCAGGGCAATTTCATGTCCGGTCGGCAACCTCCAAGTTCTCGTCGTTATCTGGAATCACTGCAGGAATCGCTCAGATACGATGCATTCCGAAGTATGGAGCGATTACTCCAGCTGTCTCTACGTGCTGAATTAGAGTGCTTTGAGGTGGGTTCGAGGAAACCACGTCGCATGCGGTAACGGCTGACTGTCTTAGCCAGGGAATCGTTTCCATTTTCCTATCCTCTAGAGACTAGTCCGACTCTGTCAGCTCAGGTACCGCTAGTTGACGCTCTGCACAATCGTAGCAGCCCCATGATCACCGGAGACTCCCCGAGTGACGTTCAAGTCGAGCAAGTCCGAAGCTACTGTCGCTGTACTAGGCAGATCTACCCTAACTAGTCCAACCTCTCATCTACCTCAGGTCTCACCTCTCTGGCCGTGAGACTGCCTTCAGCGAGAGAGTCCACAATAAGCCGCCTTTTACAGTACACTGCCTTAGCTCGGCCCGGCATCATCAACTCTACGTGTGTCGATATTGAAGCACTCATGACCGCCGACAAGGATTCTCGAGGGGCTCATCTGGGTCGTTGGGTGACCTTGTGTTTGTACCGGATGGAGGGGGCCGCTGATCGCGAAGATTGCGACTCGCATTTGAGATCGCTGACAAAACTCTTGCGGCCTTGCGAGAACGTGAGGGTCGAGTTCTACTTGGATGACATCGTGCTGCGACTACTCATAGCGTTTTGTCGGTTTGGGCCCTCTCCTGCTCTGGAACAGTGTGTTGAGGTTTTGAGAGGCAAATCTGACGCTGTACAGTGGGGAGATGATGTAGAGGACGTTTTGCAGAAGTATGGCGACGAGTTCCTCCGAGTTGGGGACTTTGCAACGTACTTGCGGACTCTGCCAAGAACCATCAACTCTTGCGTTTCTTGAAAGGAAATATTGTTTTGCGTTGGATTCCACCAGTAAGAACTCTCCTGCTAGCCAAGCGGTGTGGGCAGTCATGAGGCGTCAGCGTCCTTGAGTCTTCCTCTGCGTTCTTACAAGGGCCTTGGTCCGACCGAAGGGCGATCTAGGTCAGTTGTCTTCGATGGAAGTCTTGTGCGAGTATGTTGAACGGTGGAGGCCGAGAGGCTCCAAACCATGCTAAGTCATCGTGCGTCTTTCTCGGTAGTGGGTCAACCTTGACCGATCGCCTTTCTCGCATAGCATCGGTGAATTAACTCGCGAAGATGACCGACTAATCATGTATATTTGGAGATGGAGAGGCCAAGCTAGAGGAGAAGAGTTGGTGGAAGAGTATTCTGCAATTAGTGATTCCGACGTACCAGCAGACCATACTTTAACAGTGACGCCTAGTCTAGAACGCTAAAATCCTGTGATCATCCTGGTGAGATATTTAAATCTCAGTCTGAGGAACCCGTATTGTTTAAAGAATCGCGCATTAATCAGGGAGTTCAGAAACTATTCCACCGCTGGTGGCAACGTGATCCATGTGACATCAGTCCCCGAGTGGCCTTGTTCCACATGCCTCATTGCATCTTGAGTCGCATGTCACGTTCGTCGGGGTTTTGAAGTAGTCGGGTGAGATCTAGCTGTGCTGCCGATGCAAATCCCACTCCGTCACTCAAGTTGTGACCCATCCGTAACTCGTCGAATCGTTCGACTCGAACGCGAATCGTCCCCCCCCCCCCCTTCTGATGATGGCTGAGGCTATTGGACAAGAAGAAGGCAATCATGAACGAGGCAAATTGTATAATAACAAAGAAAATCACCGAAAAAAAGAAGAAAATCACCTCATGCACTCGATCAGCGCAGAGTCAAGTCAAACATTGATCGCCCGTAGACGGCTTGTTGGGCTGAGGGCTCCTCGAAAATCTCCATCGGAAAACTATAGTTCTTCTGAAAGTTATTGTACGTGTATGAGCTTGGAGTCCAAGGCCGACAAAACGGCTTTGCTAGACGATTCGCTAAGGGACCAGTTCGGCCCATTGAATACCCCCTAACTAATCACGCCAAGGATGCTGCTATCAGATCTTATCGTCAGCGGGGATACTTCCAAACTTGCGGAAGTATCTCGTAGGATCTTCGATTAGCACCGACTACCACAACTCCACAGCCTAAAGCTTGGAAAAAATACACAGGAAGGGTTGAATTATCGTACAGCAAATCAAACAGTGTCGTCTCGTCTTGCGGAACTAAAGGCTGTTGTCGAGACGATACCGGAGGTCGGCAATCTCCCCAAGAAGCTGACGTTGGAGCTCGTCCTTGGCATGAACGCATTTCATCTGCATCTGTCCATGCAAAGTCGAAGTCCAGAAAGTATCCTCGTTACTGACCTCGATCGCATCCATTCGTTCCTGCCTGAGATTCTCCATCTCCGCTCGGAGGGCTTCTATCGTGGCCTGAAGGCCAGCGAGGGGTGAACACGTCCGATACACGACTCGTCAAGTCCTCTTACATCCCTCTCAGCTAGCTGGCTCTTGAGTCGTTGGATTTCCTGAAAAAATCAATAAAATTCCGACCGAAAGAACGCCATGATTAACACCTCAGCAGAATCACTGGGATTAATCTCACATGGTTTGTCGTCCGAGGAGGTATTCAACGACTCGAGACGGACTGTAGTATCACACACCTCATTCGAGTTGGTCGAGGAAGGTCGACAAGGGCCGCCTGTTCCATCGGAAGGGGCACTTCGGGACCGTGACTTTTCACAGGAATCCATGCCGTTTGATTCTCGTGGCCCTGGCGGGTCGCTAGAGATCCCCTCTGCTGCTGGTTCGTCGACATTGTTAGAATTTTCACCATCGTCTGAAGTATCAAACAACCAGTGTGAACTATTTACCTCTCGGAAGTGATACCAATAAGCTCGTCTCTGGGTGAGGACCCCTGCTGAACAGGAAGCTCGCAACAGTTCTCAACAGCAGCCTGGACTTCCTTGCCAACAGTCATATGAACTCGCGGGAGCCAGACCATAGTCGTTGAAGATATGAGCTTATCAGCCTCCACTGGCTGTAGCTGCATATCTACAGTGATGTGAAAGATGGGCAAATTACGGTATGACCACTCTTGTCACCTCTGTTGATGAAGTTGAGCACCTGGTGCATAGATTGCATCTGCGTTATCACGTCCTGGTACTGATGGAAGATTGACAGCGTGACCGCTAGGAGAGCATTCAAGCCGTGACCTGACGGGGCGAATTCAAAACTCCCACAGCTGAGGATGGACAAACCTGCAACTAGGTCCAATACAAGCAATATAGAATCCATAGGCAGCCACTTCGAAAACAGAGAGAGCCACCTAAATGACGATCGTGGGAGGCATTGCATAGTCAGAGAGAGCCGTACCCAGTAGGTAGATACGCCAAAGGCTCGACGTGGAGGTAGGCCAGCCTCGCGTGCAATCTAAGGACGAGGACTCGTCCCCTCTGACCAGTCAAAGGCGACTCACCGTGGCAGGTACTTCTTACAGCATTTGACGTAGCAGCTGATGGCAGGCTGTAATAGCGGTAGACCGTCGGACCTAACTCTATTGGTGACCTCATTACTACTGCTGGCCATAGACGAGGAAGTACCACAGTCCGGAAAGGTGAGCCATGATGGCTACGAACTGCTGGTAGGCTACTTCTCGAGCGCAATGACCGCCACGAGTATGCCGCAATACCAGGCAGGTGGCAACTGAATACAACACCGCTTGAAGTCGATACCGGCATGAAGACCTGCTCTCAATGCCCCCGGCTGTGCCCATCAGACAAATTCGTCCTCAGTTTACTACGAGGTCTATGATCGTGAAAGGGTGATTCAGGGCATCCCCTTGAGGTGGAGCCCGAAAGGCCTAGTGACCCTAGACCAACCTATAGTCGGCCCCAGAGGGTGAGGAGTTAGCCTCATACTACCGTAGTTCATGCCTTGGGTGTAGCCAACGTCTGGATGCTCCTCTACAAATCGATTAAGGAGTATCTTAGCTTCCTCTCGGCCAGATGCCGCTGAGGACAAGTGAGAGAACGTCCTTTCTAAGTCCAGATCAATGGCCGCCGCCTCCGCCAAGGTTGCGGCACAGACGCTACCACCCTCCTGAGGCCCCTCCCTGGTTGGCATCCTAGGAACCGCTACTGACAGTGAAGGCTCTCTTTCAGGCATACCATTCGTTCCACTATAAAATACGCAACACATGATCTGGTCGAGCAATCGTACTACTACCACCACAAGCGACTCAAGGCAGAATACAAGTAGTAGTGTGCAGCAGGGCATAGGATGATAAGCAGTCGCACAGTAGTAGTAGAAGGCGATACTCGAGATGATGGTGAGATCGTCAATGGTAGTGTGTTCGACCGCACAGAGCGGTATTTCTCGTGATAACAAACGTTGAAAGGGGACTACGTCGAACGCGGCTAGAATACACCACCGCCACCAAAGCCGCCGCCTCCGCCGCCACTGCCGCCGGCAGCCCCAAGGGACATACAGTTGAGGCTAGTAGCTTGCTGGAGATGATACCTAATGAGTCCTCTACAACACTATTCCGACCTCTCGATCGGCCTACCGTAAGACATCAGTCGTTTGCTTCTCTCTCCGTAGGGCCGCCTCAGTTTCGTCTAATTTCTTTCGGAGCTCCGCCACCACCGCCGGGTCCTCCCTAGAATCGAGTCCCACCTACATACAAATCAATAAGCCGTCCCCCTCCCACTGTGAGCCTACCTGATCCTGGCAGTGGTTGGTGCGGGAGTTGAGTATATGAAGAGCTCGATACAACACTAAGGGTGGGGGGTAAGTCAAGTGGACTACCAGCAGCGATACTACCTTTATTAGCGGTCTTGTGACGATGCAGCTTTTTCTGTAACTCTTCGATCTCCATCTTCGTCCCGGCAGAGTCCGCAGCAGATCGCTCCCTCACACAACGTTCGTAGGCTTGCAGTACCTTCAAGAGTGACACGCCGAGCCTATTCGACATGTTAGTCCTGATCATATGACTACTACTTCACAGGCGCGCTGCTTGGCTGTGACGAGAGATGGTGAGCCTTGCAAATGGAGCACCTGATAAGGGCGATAATCCCGAGACCCGTTACGGAGTAGAATATAATGAACTACAATAAGATGAATATGAATCACTTAATGGACAATCGTTTGAGGCGTTAAAATAATACAATAAGCTGATGTTTACACGATGCCTCCCCAGTGATTTCGTGATAAATTCCGAAAGGAGCGGTATGCACCACTGCTGGAATTGACAGAAACGCCAGCTCCCAGCCATTTCCCAATACTACCAGTCTCTCAGCCCATTGCTCCCCAGTGAGGTTAGAGTGCTCCGATACCATCGTATCGTGGCCTCGTTTGATCCCGACCTTTGTACTACCACCAAGGGGACTAGCGGAGGCCATGTGTGAAGGGATGCCTCCTGGGAGGGGAATCCAACAGGAAAGGATACTATCAAATCACTACCGTTTTCATCATCATCGTCTTCATCGGTCTCCAAGCGCCGTTTGCCAGCGCGAGAGGAGCCTTGTACTGGGCCGACAGAGGCATTCGCGAGCTGCTTCAGAGAAATCGCTGCGTCTGACACGCTGTTGCCGCAGGTCTCCAGTATAGACGACGCGATCTGGGAGGAGGTTGGGAAAGTAGCAGTAACTATGGGAGCTCTCATACGCCTCGATGGATCTCTGGGAACCGCTTCTGGAGCTCGGCGAGGTTATCTTCGAATGTATCCGGACGTACGTGGTTGAAGACTGGCAGTCCTGAGAAGTACCATGGGGTGGGGGAAGTGACCAAGAGTCGCATCTTACGCTCAGAGGGAGAACTGCTGTTGTCTAGTTGCATGGCCCCACGACAGATCCGCTTGGGGTTGGCCTGGCTTATGGGTGATGCTGAAGTGAGCATCGACGCACCCAGACGTGTTCGCTCAGGGGAGGAAGCAATGAGTACTGAAAGAAGGCATCATATAGGGGCACTGGAAGGAGGCTGCTACTGACCTTCGTTAGAAGCTCCACCAGCAGAACCTCGAGGGGGAATCATAATAATACAAATGAATAATTAGCACAGACTAGTGAACAGAAACGCTGTTAGAAAGTCCGTCATCGATTTCTGTGTCGCGCGCGAACAGACCTTAGCTGCGCCCTACGCGTCCCCACGCCTATGCATGGCAGGTTGCAATTCCACTATTGCATACGATGAAATCAATACATATACGATTAGACGAGGACCTGTCAATCAGTCCTAAATCTGGTATGGTCTATGAATGCGGTGGCGGTGGTGGCATTATCATATTACCATCGGCCGGAGGTTCGATCCCCGGCGGCGGTATTTTTCCATTTTTTATTCGTGTCGTTTTGCGTCGAACACTCGTGACCATGTCACCGTCGGAATTGTTGTTACTTCATCCTCTCAGTCTCAGTATTGCCTCGCTAGAAGACGGTTGCATTCCTCTGCTAGAGAAGGATACTCTTACAGGAGGTTTATTGCGGACCTCAGCGAACTGCCTCATGGGCCGTATGACACGCCCACACATTCCTACTGGAATGCTTGAGGCACCAACAGCCCAGTACTAATCACTGCCTCGAAATCTGAGGATAAGAGGTCGTCATTATATGCCCTCCTTCGTAACCATAGGGTACGTCCTAGGGGTTTCTTGAGACATCGTAGTGTTGAGTTACCTCCTAACAGTAGGGTGACAATAAGGGGAACTATCTAGTAGGCTTATGCCCTTATGCGTCGAGAGACGGTAGACGGCGTCACTCGGTGTATCCTACAGCCCAAGTGGCAAGGCGGTAGTAAGTCCAACACGACCTCCAACAGAGTGGTCCGCCTTACAGCCGCATCAGGGACGCCAGGAAGCAGCCGGAAGAGGCGTGGGTGAGTGCGGAAGCTTCCCTCTCAGCATCACCATCGTTGCACTATAGGTCCTCCGAGTCCTTGGACCATCATCGGCCGTCTCCATCACATAGTGGCAGTAATAAGAAGCTACGTTCTTCTACACCTGTTGGAAGTGGCACTCCATCGGGCTATGGCTATCGGGGGGAACGTAGACGGATTGCGGAACTAGAGGACCCATCAGGAGACGACTCCTCCAGAGCCGGTACTGCCTCGCAATATTGATGCAGTGATAACCCTTCTGTGTCGTAGGGTTGGTTTCCCTAGAGTGCTCCGATACTTGGGAGAGTGAGAGTAACCAGAGCCCGAAGAGTGTTACTATAGCACAAGGCAGCTCTTCCGTTCAGGACGGCTCTCATGGTGATGATGATGACCATGTAGTACTTTGACTCAGCGGTGTAGGATCGGACGAGTCTCACTGTAGGTTGATGAGGGAGAGTCTATGATGGAGGAAGAGCCGAAGGAGTGGTATGGGTAGTACTATTTGGTTCGATCAGGAATTGCTTTTCAGGAGCCCGTCTTCCCCCCTACCGCTGGACATTATAAATAGTATTAAGACGTTCGTTTATGAGGAGTTTTCGGAGCCGGAGGAAGAAAATTCGGACGAGAGGCTGTCGACTATTGCGGAAGTCGGCCAAGTACTGAATAATAATTTCGTGGCGCGCGGTAGAGCTCATTCCTTCCCCATCAGGTTTTATTGGAGGATACGACTAAATATGCAGATAAGGTGACGCCTGTCCTCCTACTGGTGTGCTGCGTTGGAGCTTCTTTCCCATAGGAGACTATGTTAGCCGAGTTGGAGGATCTCGCGTTGATCATAGGAGGAGAGGAGGCGGTGGAGCGGTAATATGATATCGATGCCGCTTTGTGGGTTACATCTGACCCTTAGGTTCGTGGACCATCTTCTGGAACTTCGGAAGGGTCTATTGCCTGGAGGTGATCGATGCATGGAGGGGGTGTGTAGTGGTGATGATCTTGGTTAGGTTTGGCAGTGGAGACGGAGAGGCCTGGGCCGATGGGTGCATCAACACGGCAGGATGCCTCACCCAAAGCAGACACGTACGTCGACTAGAGGGGGTGCTTAGAGACGTTTGTTTGGAGTCCTGGGTTCGAATCCCACGGGGGGCATTTTCAGAATACTGGGATCTCAATCAGATCTGTAATGACGGCCTAATAGGCAGTTATTTCCTAGGAGGAGTACTCGTGAACATCACTGTGTTGTTGATGCTATAGGTCTCCAACAGCCGTTGCAGGAGCCCGACGAGTCACTCTGCTGCCTCGACGAGGCTCTACTCAGGCTGCGGTGACACCAACATCAGTAGCGTCACCCTTCCGACCGATGGTTGCTGGGTCATCACCAGTACGGTCCCAAGGGGTTGCCCCTAGTAGTAGTAGTAGAGGTACTAGGACCCACTTGAGGAGTATCATTCAGGCTGGTCTGGGGTCGTCTTCTCGCGGCAGTCGCCTGTACAGTATCAAGCTGCACCACTCCCTCCTCCTCCTCCTCCTCCACCACCACCTCCACCGCCGCCGCCGCCCTCAGGGGCTGCCCCTCCTCATATTGTCCCCGTATACTCCCGTCACAGCCACGTAAGTGCCTCCTTAGTCTGTTCTGGAGCGACCATTCTGTCTGATTAGGGACCACGAACGCCTCATGGAGGCCAACAGGGCTCGTCTCAGCAACACATGTAGTGATTGGAATCGGTATTGGAATTTGACTCGGGCGGATTCAGGGCGATAGAGTCTACGAGCAGCTTCGGCAATCTCACGTACAATCCATCTGGAGAGCTCACTCAGGTAGCAGTTCCTACTGTGGTGTCGTTGCAAGTGTATGATAGGTGGAGAAAACTCGGCAGGTGGAGGCGGAGCGGAAGAGGTTTCTGGAGCAGTGCACGAACAATATAAAGTCGATAATGCGACAAATGAATGCAGAAGGAGTCAAGCCTGAGCAGAAGAAGGTAGGGGCATGACCGCGCGCCACGAAATAACTCTGACATTTCAGAAATATGTGTTGATGATTGAGCGATTGAAGAATACAATGGAGCGCATGCGTACACAGGAGCATCCCGCGGTCCCGAAGTCGGCCCCGACGACGCCTAAGGCGGAGGCTGCTAAGATCCATCGAGTCGGGTAAGTAGTAGTAGTAGTAGTAGTAGTAGAGTAGTAGTAGTAGTAGTAGTAGTAGTAGTAGTAGTAGTAGTAGTAGTAGGAGTAGTAGTAGTAGTAGTAGTAGTAGTAGTAGTAGTAGTAGTAGTAGTAGAAGAGCTGATGAGTGAGTACATTAGGTACTATGGGAACGTTTGGGTGAGTAGTTCAGCAGCAGCAGCTTCCGCTCAGTCACCGACAGCTAAGGTAGGCTGGTCGAGAGAGGGGGGGAGTGGCATGTGCTGTTGGTGATCAGGCGGCAGTACCTGGTGGGGTAGCATCGTCGTCATCATCATCACCCAGGGCTGGGGGAGGCATACTGCCTGCTTTCATATTGCGAACACATAATGTCGTGCCTGTGGACTCGCCTCAGAGCCCTAGAGTGGAGGGGAAGGAGGCGGAGGAGATGAAAGTAGGGGTGGGAGGGTGTAGAGAGAGAGATGATCTCTATGTAGGAGCAGGGGGAAGAAGGTACGGCAGCAGATGGGGACTCTATTGATGTGCCTAGGATGTTGCCTGATGATGGTGATGGTAATAGTAGTAGGGAGCGGTAGTGGTAGTAGGGGTTTTACTATGTGTATTTCAGAAGCTGTGTATTCTAGTGGAGACGAGGCAGATGCTGAGAGTGGGGAAGGATGATGATGATGTATACTGATGGGCTCATCGGCATCCATTCTCATTGACTGCTATATTTTCGATCCTCATTGTGATTGGGTTTATGGCAGGAGTTGCAATTGGAGTGGTATGGCGTGTAGATAGTCTAACATTGCCGTGTGATTCTAATGGTGTCATCGTCCTCATCTTCTTCTTCTCCTCCCCCACCGCCTCCCCCTCCTCCTCCTGCTGCTACCGCTGGGCAGCAGCAGCCTACTCAGGCCTCGCCTACCACATCGACAGTTCAGCCGACTAATGCTCCTAAATTCGACACAAGTTCGATTGATCTGGAGCAGCTACGACAAGTACTATCACTGAGGGACCCGGAGCTCCTCAAACACGTAGAGACTTATATCCGTCTGAAGCACATGTTGGACCGGCAGGCTAGGATTATTGAGAGCGCTCTTACTGGGCAGCAACAACAACAACAAGTTGGCAGGTTTTCGGTAATGGATACGGCCTCGTCGACGCCTACTGCACTGTCGGTGCGCCCTAGTACGGAGCGTGATGGAGGTATGGTGTTGGTGGAAGAACCCGCTGATCTGCAGCATTACCATCATCATCATAATCAACATCATCATCAACAGCAGATGGCCACCCAGTCGGTGTTGATGGCGATAAATGGGACCAATATCACGGGAGGTATGGAGCCTCTGGATTTGGAGGCTTTACTTAATAATAAGGAGGAAGAGACTAGAACGACTCTGATGATGAAAAAGATCCCAAAATAGTAAGCGTCTCTCTGTGGGCGGCACTGTTGGTGACTTTGTCTTTTCACTTCAGTTTCACCGTCTTTCATTTGCAACAAGCATTGGACGCCTGTTGCCCCTACGTCAATGATGAGCCCTCTTATGACCTCCTTTACCTCCCCGCTGACGTTCATGGTGTTGCCAACAGAGGATTTGCCTTTGTGAATCTGCGCTCGCCCCAGCATCTGGTGGTCTTTGCGGCACATGTTGCCAATTTGACATTTCCTGCTGGCCGTGCTGGTGGGGGAAAGGCTGGAGCTGGTAGTGCCTTCAAACGCTGCGAAGTGTACTTCGCCCGAATCCAAGGACGTGAGGCTACTCTGGCGAATCTTGAGCAGAGCAGTAGCAGTAACAATGGTGTCACCTTCCACTCAATGTTACAGTCCTTGGGCTCGAAGCCTCTTATTATCGGCTTCGGTGCTGCCCCTATGCGTCGGCCTAAGGAGGCCCCTCGCCGACATCCATCTGTTGGTATGGAAACTACGTCGACTGTGTGTTCGACCTGCTTCTACTTGAGGGACCCCTCTAGGGGGCTGGAATGTGCTTGCAACATGCCTCAGGGACCGCACGATTTCCCCGTGGACTCGCCTGAAGACACTTCTCAATTTCGTTCTGTGATGGCAGAAGCTGAGGCTCCAGAGGCTCCCGGTGGTGACACGAATGGTGACACGAATGGTGACACGAACGACCAACTGCCTGAGTGCGCACAACAGTGATGTGGCTACTAGTATGCTACTATTCCTTGCATATAGAGTCACTATGGTTGCTGCTGCTGTCGTCGTGATCGTCGTCGATGTTGCTGCTGCTTCTAAACACTTAATTTGTTATAATGCCTTCTATTAGGACACGCCTTTGCGTGCCTCTAGTAGAACGGTGGGATGAGGGCGGTGATGGCGATTGGTCATTTCGATGGTCTGGCCTACCTCTCATTATCTTTGGAGTATCTTTACCTTATTGTTATACTTCCTTCCCTTTCTAGTATTAATTTGTGTATCGGTCTATGTCGTCATCATCATCATCATCATCACTTGCCTTCGTCGTCGTCATTGGTAGAAGCCTCAGTAGTAGTATGTGGTTGTAGTAGTAGGTTGTATCCAGAGGCGACGACTGCTATGGTCGGGTTAGCATCACTACGCTTCGCTGTTCCGAACTTCCGAACAACTCTCCTGAGATTCTTCCCTTATTTGTAAGCACTAAAGGTGCTTCTTCGCTGACTCTTGTTGCCGCTATCACTAGAATGTGGAATCAATTTTTGTACAACTCCGTTGGTTCTGTGGGTTTATCATGGCGGCGGCGGCTACTGCTGTTGGCTGGTCTGAACCGGAGTCGGCCGTAATCATCCGTCTCAACGCTATGTAACGATGCTCACTCACGACTCTTGTCGGCCTCATCATTATTATAATTATTGTCGTCTCTATTGCCAGCATAGTAGTCTCTGCTCCTTCGGGTTTGAAGTGGTGAATACTTGTTGAGTTGGCCCATAGTACTGGTCGTGGGTTCGATCCCTGGTATGGGCATTCCCCCTCGATCTGGACTGCCAAGCCCTCATCTTCGTCAGGCTATTGGATCTCTCTCTATGGTCAGTAAGAAGCCTCGGCGGCCTGTTGTCGACCTCGAAGGGGAGGACGAATCGGAGATCGCTGCGATAGACTCTCTTATAGCTGGTCATGACATCAGCATGGTCTGTCCTGACGCCCCAGGCAGTGTTGATGATAGTGGCAGGAAGATAGTGCGACCTGCAATCAAGTATGACAATGACGAACCCGGCAGCTCTTGGTTGTACACCCTTCTCAAGGTACGGGGAGAGGCCTGAGCCTCGGAGGAAGATTGGTGAGGAAGATTCCGTGCAAACTAAAGCCGTACCGCCTCCCCACTACCGCTGCCATCGTTGTGGAGAGCCAGGTCACTACATCTACGACTGTCCGACCAATGATGACCCCACGTATACGTCGAAGCAGAAGGTAGATGGCGGCTTCTCTTGGTGGGATCGAAGGAGAGTATTGTCAGGTGAAGTCGGCAAGAGGTGTTCCTCGGCAATTCCTCCGTATTGTCACACGTGAGGAGGCCCAGGACTTGACAGAGGACGTGTACATCCTTCCCAATGGTGATAGCATTTAGCTGGACCCTCCGGACGGTTATTGACCTCAGGTGACTACGCCGTTATGAAGCAGGTGTCCGATGAGGAGAGGAAGAAGATAGTGGGAGAGTCCGAGAAGGAGCGTTTAACGAGGGTGAGGGAAGTAACTGTTGGGAAGTAACCACTGCCGTGTCTTTATAGGTTTTCTCCGACGCGGATTGGCGCGTACAGGGCCTCCTACTGTCGTGTGGAATCTGTCATCAACTGCCAGTAGAGGCAGAAATTACACCGTGCTGCGCTAATCTGTATTGTCGGAAATGTGTGGTGGAACATCTAGCGAAGTGAGAAAGGACACCTGTTGGTCCCTTGTCGATGTTGACCTGTGTTCCTTAGGACGCACTCTTGTGTGGACGGTACGCTGTGGCCTAATAAGTGTCCGGGATGCAATGAGACGTTGAAGTTGTCATCGCTTATTCCCGATATACGTCTTCGTGACCAGGTGAGGCTTGGCCCACTAAGCGAGCGGAATTGCTATGTCGTCAGTTACATTTTGTTGCATATGGGAAGAGATTACCCACCAGAAAGCCGCACTCTCTCGCACATGCAGCCAAAGAAGGGCGTAAACGTTCATCTGGTAAAGGATAGCACTGCTGACGAGAGTTCTATGTGGCCCTTAGGTTCGAAGCTCCTGCGGAAGAGCTCGAAGAAGTCTCGATTAGAGTTGAACGTGACCTTAGGGTCATCGGCAGCAGCTGGCAGCAATAGAGCCGATATGGAAAAGTTTGTTGTCACGAAGGGTATAAATGTTATTGCATTTCTCGCATCACATCTACGACTATTACTAACCGTTTCTATTATGGAGATCATGCTCTCGTGGTTCGAAACACACCAGTACTGTATCACACTATCTGCGTGCCTCGCTAGCATCATCATCTGGGCCTCACAGGAATATAGGAGCTTCTCAGCAGTCGGGGGATGGGGGTTCGAACGGAATGTCTTTTGGGATGATTGGGGGATGAGTGGAGTTTTCACAATAGTCGCTTGCGTTATCAATGGTGAGGGAAAATGGTGTTTGATGCATTTCAGTTCTTGGTGGTCCGCTGAAACCTCCGAAGATCACGGCAGCAGCAGCGGCAGCAACAGCAACTCTTGTGTAGCATTTGACTGAGTTATCGTTGTGTTGTCAGTGGGGTATGGTCTAAAGGATACTGCATATAATATGGCTTCAGGAGAATACGATAAACGGAAGGGAGATTTCAACTCCTCCCTCTCGTAAATGGCAAACTACTGTGATGAGAATCCCTCCGACAAAGTTAAATTGACATCGACGCGGTCAGTCCGCATTTGTGGGAATTCCAGTGGAATTATTCCACAGTGTTAACAGAAGCATTCGTGATAACTGGAAGAGGTCGCCTCCCGGTACAAAGTGCTGACTCGTTTTGTCTGTATAGGCAATTCTTATTCAAGATGGGGTACTAACTGCAGAGTTAGTAGGACACTACTATTCCTACTTCACACAAAACACAGGAGATTCGAGAAGCAGTCAATGTAAACATGCAATAGGGACAGTAGATGCTCAGTGGGGTATGCTGCAATGATAGAGGGACAGTCATGAACCGTAATATACGTTAATGGAAAGTGACCTTATAACAACATTAAACAACGCTGATAATGTACATAATACAGTAGGACCCGATTTTCTACTGGCACTCTTCAACAGGAATATGGGCGGTCTCGGCAAACGGGTCCTGACGAAATGAGTAACGCGTTCGACTTGTCTAGTGTGACTACTTCCTCAGGAACCGCTTCGAACATTAAGCGTTTGCGGGAGAGGGCAGGCAGGAGACGTCTTGGTGACATCAACTGTACCTCGTTGAACCTGCAGCAGCGAGGCTGATAGGAAGAACCTCATCCCACTTACGGGGAGAATTGTACTCTGCGGCGTTTACGCTTCGTTGAGGCTTCAGAAGCAGGGCCGCCGCGAACACTACAAAACGGTGATCCATAGAGTAGGTCCGTAAACGAGATGCCTACTGCCTGGCCGGTGTTGATTGATCTACTGCGCAGTCGTGCTTCGGGGGCATGCTGTGGGTAGAGCTTCTCTGGTCATTAGAGAACTCTCCTTCCGAGTCCGTTACATCAATTGGAGGACAAATACTGAGCAAAACGGGAAGGTCAGGGCGGGTTCCTTATGTTCCAGCAGTGCGACGCCATCGGTGTTTCTACCTGCGACGACGTTCCTTGCATGGAGAGAGGCGACCGCCTTGTGGACTGCTGAGGTCAGGTCTACTGGATGCCTTTGGGGACTCGACGACCGGTAACAAGGTTTCAGTAGTAGCGAATGACGTGGGACTATACGACGATACTTTCCTGAGCTCGAGAGATCGGAAATCGGACGGCGCTACTACTAAGGAACCTCAAGATGGGCTTTGACGCACTTCCAGCTTTCCGCTTAAAGGGACTCTTGAACTTTTCCGCGACTAAACCTTCCTTGACAGCGACAAGGCAGAAGTGGCCACCTGACGAAGAATGAGTAGTCCTTCGGGAGGCATGGACCGCGAACAACTCACGAGTAGCGCGATAGGAGGGCACCCCCGGGGTAGGCCCGTTGGGGTTATGTGTAGCATGCCACATACGGAGACGGCCGATGATCTCTTCTCTCGAGCCAGTAGCCTGTCGCGAGTTCAACTACACTCTCTTCGCGTTCTACTACCGGTAGACGCAGCTTCAAGCAAAGGTTGGCCAAACTGGAGTCGGACCAATAGGTAGAGTGATCAAGAAGGCCAGGATTGAATGAGAACTGCCAAGCACGAGCACTCAAGTCTCGTCGGCCACACCCAGTACTACATGCCTAGTGTACTCCCTCAATAGTATAGTTCCTGGCGTGAGCGCCTCGCTGGAGCTGCTCGTCGACGGCGACTTCCTAGGGGTGTACTCAGCTGCTGTAGTTGAAGGGCTTGCATTGGCTGGAGGCTCAACTGCTGCTGTTGTTGCTGAGGGCCGACAAGTCGAGACCTCCACACGAGGAGAACAACCACTACGTTCTTCCTTAGTGGGCTGCTCCTCGGAAGGTTTACGACTACTTCCTGAGTCCTGCATGTGCTGACAAGCAGCGTTGAAATCTGCTGCATCAGGAGACTTTCTCTCCTGCAGCACGCGGGTGTTGTCTGCTGGATGGTCCTTTTTGTCTATATGCCTGGAGCCGCCAGTGGAACGCCTCCTGAGTGGTGGACAGTGGGAGGCAGCCTCTAAAGAGGACGGTCGCTGTACGTCGTCGCCGGGAGCATAAGATCGGCGACGCGTTACCACCGGCATACGCACAGCCAATTACAAACCTAACCGCCGCCCACCTACCATATTGACAAACTCAAAGACGACCTAGTAGAAACAGTAGGAAACAGTAGTAGCCACGCACAAACACTACCAAGGCTCATCCGATTCAGTACCCTGTCCTATAGAGTCACCATCAGACCAGTCGTCTTGGTCCTCCTCCCCGTACTGGGCTAGTTTGTCCCCAACAAAGCCCGTCGGGAGACCCATGGACCGCATTAGAGCAAGCGTGGGGTCTTCCTCGCCCTCAACGGCAGCCTTCTCTTCTTCCACCTTCCTATGTTTCGGAGATTTCCCCTCAGGCTGTGCCGAATTTCTCTCGGCCGGGTTCTGTATACACGTCAGAAGGGTCCGAGGGCCCATCTGGTCCGACAGTTGAGTAGAAAAGTCAGCCACAGTGCGAGTACTGGAACCGTCCGCCCCACAGCCCCTCAGGTAGGCGCTCAATATCCGCGTCTCTGCTGTGCAATCATAACAGCGACAAAGGCCGGCTGCCAAGAAGGGCTCGTCTGGGCCCTTCAGATTCCTCGGCCTTTCGTAGACGGCAGTGCGGAGGACCTACCCACAACTGAATGAACCAAATAAGGTATTCACCCGTCTCCTACCGTATTGAAATACGCCATAGCCTCGCCGAACTCCCCATTGTCATATCTAAGAGGTTTACGCCCGTCCGACACAGTCAAAAGGACGACAATGATATTACTCGATCATAGGAGCATCCGGCGACTCTATAGTTAGTCGGGCTTCGGTGGTGGTCTGCGCGCCCCATATAGGGTAATACACTTTCCCCGACACGTACTCAACCTTACCTTCTGTGTACGGCAACCTACAGGCACACTGGCCCTCACTGAAGGCAACTGGGCAACGCAGGACTACCTAAACTTCATCAGAGCCTTCTGGGGTCTCATAGCCTTCCACCAGGCCAGCTGGGCCGACATGTCGTCCCTCACCACTGAAGCAACCCATGGCACTATATCACCTCCTAGCGGGTGCTCACTCTTTTCGTTTTCCTCAAAGCTCTGCCCTTGCCAATTACCGCTTCTAATATCACTCATAAGCAATATGGGTGTCCTGCCATCTCGATAACGGCTACTCCGGGCTAAGGACGAACATATGCTGGCAGTAGGAAGATGGGGAGGCCTCACCTCGCTCTAGGTCGAACTTGTCCTGAATGAGCCGTACTGAGCCGGGGTCTTGCTCTGCCATTGCCCTCAAGGGCTCAGCGAAGGGTGTGGAGTCATAGAGCTCAAACGAGAGAGGTTGGTAGTCACGATAGTGGCGATAGGCCTGAAGATCCAAAACCTGATAATAGGTAAAGTCGATGGTACACGTACATTGATGAAGCGGATCAATACGGGTATGTGGTCGCCTGGCCCGGCACCCACGTAGACCACAACAGCTGCTTTACTCGAGTCATATTCCATCAGGAACTCCAACTCTGCCAAGAGGAGCTTACCTGCGAGGGACGGAGATAATAGGAGACCTCGCAGTTTCATAGGAGTTGCATGAAGAGTGGTACGTAGAGGATCGAGTGTGAAGGACGATAAGGAGTGGTCTCGACTCACGTTGGCCCCAATGCAAGGTTGATTTCTCCTCCTTTTCACGACGATGATAGACCCTCCTCTTCGATACATCGATCTCTCGACGGAACTCAGGATGGAGCTGCTGCTCACCACCAGCTGGGCTATCCAGATACCGACACAGGGGGTCCGTGAGACGCTGGACGCAGTGTGGGTTACCTACTCACGGACATGGGAATATCTCCATCAGCATCGACCTAAGATGAATGCCACCTCTAATGCAGTCCCTAGCATGCTGAGCTGCTTCCGCGAAATCGGGCTCCCAACTACTGCGGGACTCAGACTTGTACATCAAGTTCATCGCCGAGTTGCTATCCACACCTAACCCGACATAGGCGGTCCCTCCCCGTCTCTATTGAGTAGGGTTTACCTTCGGCGACCGTCCGCCGCTTCTTCCCGTCTGATGCACGTCGTCCCATAAAGCAACTGCTGACATGACCACTAGCTCTGCCCCAGGGTGATAACTAACGCAACATGGTGGCAAGTTAATTGTGGCAAAATGATATAACACCTCCTCCTCCTACTGCTGGTCAACACTGTACTATATAACTACTTCCAGACTTTATTCTCGCTAATACTACTACTAGCAATACCAAATTACTGAGCCTTCAAAGCTCGACCTTCGCTCCGCTCAAAAGGTTCCACTATGAAGGGATGGGCCAGAGCTTCTTCTGGTGTAATCCTATGCTTCGGATTGAGGTTGGTCATCTGATCCACGAGGTCAACGAACTGCTTCGTCTTGTTCTCGAACCACCGCTTATTAGGGTCAGAATCTGACAGCTTCCGCGTGCTGTGAAGGATCCTAGCTTTGAGAGAATCTGATCCTGGGGTGAACGTAGTGATGACCTTCACGCCTCCGCCTTTCTGCTGCCATAAGAAGTCACATTGGTCGTTGAAGTGGTGACGCATCTCGACAAACTTCGAGGCTCTTATTTGCTTATGAGGGAACTTCCCCTTAGCGTCCTGAATCTGCTTGAGCATATCATTGTTGTTGCGGCCTTGGAAAAGGATCTTGCCCGTCCACAACTCGAACAGAGTGCATCCAATAGCCCACATATCGATAGCGTAGTCGTACTTGTGGTAGCCCAGCATAATCTCCGGCGCGCGGTAAAATCTCGAGACTAGATACTCCACCATCTCCTGTGCCTCGTGAATCTCACAGGCACTCCCCAGATCACAGATCTTCAGGTGACCATGGTTTTTCGAAATTAGAATGTTATCAGGTTTGATGTCGGCGTGGATCACCTTGCAGCTCTTCATATGCTTCAGACCGAGCAGTAGCTGCCGAGAATAGGACCAGACCGCCTTGGGATTCAAACCGCGCTCGCCCGGCCGGGCATACTTCTTCAAAGCCTCTCGAAGGTTGCTCCAAAGCGACTCGAAGACTAGGCAGAGATGACCCTGATAGTTGAAAGTGCGAAGGAGACGAACGATGTGGCTTCGGTCTCGACCGGACTTGTCTTTAGCCATCATATCATCGGCGGCATCGTTGAGCTTGGTGAGGATACGCACCTCCTTTTCAGCCGCCTTCCGCATCATGTCGTTGCGACGGATGACTTTGATAGCGACATCTTCCAGCCTGAAAAATGATCTTTGTCTAGCGGAGCGAAGCAGACTCATAGACTCACGATTGCGTATCCTTGCACTTTACCACATTGGAGAAGACTCCCTTCCCAACATCAGAGTCACTCGAGGTGAGGACCACATAGCGACCATCCATGGTCTCTAGATGACCAGGCACGAAGTACCTAAAGCACAGTAGGGTCGACCCTAGACGACACCGCAATGATAGAACACCACCTACCCTTCCTTATCATCATTTTGGCCGTCTTCCTCTTCAACACCCATCTCCTTCTGTCTGATCCTCTCCTCGTAGATCTCCTTAGCCCGCTTGAGCATAATATTGAGCTCTGTGTCGGTAACTTGAGCCTTTTCATCGGACACCAGAGCGTTAGCAGTCTCAGCTGCCTTTCGCCGCATGGTCTCATCGGCAGCCTCCTTGAGTCGTCTGATCTCAGCAAGAGCCTTGGCCTGAGTCGCAGCCATCTTTGCTTTCAGTGCTTCAAGGGCAGAAGGCAAAGCGGCAGTAGTTGTCTTTGATGTAGGCAGCTTCTCCTCTCCTTGCCTCTCGGGGGTCTCGTCTGATGACGAAGGAGACTCATTGTGATTAGGATGGACCGAGGGTGAGCTCAAGTCACTGACGGACATCATTCCCTTCTCGCTCTCGTCATCAGGGCTGGCCACAACAGCCAACATAATGCTCTCCTTACCACTCGTCACGCTAATACTGCCGCCTGAAAATGGTACATATTCGGACCTCAAGATACCCTCTAGCTTACCAATTGGTGGCCTAGCGCTCATATCTCTATCACGTTTCCTGCTCATCTCCCGCTCTGTCAGTTGCCGTTGTAGTTTTCGTCGCTCCTCTCGACGTTTTTGGATAGCAGCATCGGAATTAGCATCAATGGCCTCCATAGAGGACTCCAAAGCATCGACCAACTTGTCGTCCATTTCCACATCCTCAGAGTGATGACTTCTGCTTCTCGATCGCTTGGCACTCCTACTGCGGCTCCTATGGCTGCTCCGCTTGCTGCTGTGATGATCATGCCTATCACCACGAGTACGATCGTAGTCTTGTTGTGGACGGTCTCTCGAACCTCCTCTACGGTGATGATGATGAGAACGATGGTAGTCTTGACGGGAAGAAGACCTTAGCTCACGATCGCGAGCATAATCAGAGCGACTCCTCTCGGAAGGACCATCACCGCCGGCATCACGACGGGAAACCGATGCCCCCTTACGATCGTGGGTGATGATGCTGCTGCTGGTAGTTCTGTAACTCCGACTGTTGCTTCCTGCATCTCGATACCGATGCTCGTTGTCATCGTTGTAGTTGTAGGAATCACTGCGTCCACGCTGGGTTGTTGTTGTTCTGCTGCTAGACATAGCACGTGAGTAGCGAAGAAGAGGGCCAGCACGGACACTGAAAGCTCAAAGTGAGAACATGCACAAATCTAATCGGACCTAATTTGTATCTAATGCGAATCAAGCTAAGAAGCGCTAATAGGCTCGCACCTCCCCCGAGGCATTTTCAACACTACCAATAAACTCAATTCCAGCGAAGACTCAGCCGCCTCCTGATGACGCTGATGAACAGCAGTCGTGAATCCGATGAGAACTCTCTTCGAGAAGACAACACCTATCATTAGTGCAATGACAGTAAGTCAATACGAGGTCAGCCCAAGTCACAATGATGCACCTTTCAGGATGGAGATCCTCCTCTAGCCGTCATCACATGACACCGGACTGTTATCTAGGCACAAAAAATGGTCGAATAGTAGTAAGCCACGGTAAGCTACGGAGTGGACTCAGAGGCCTTCCGGGAGTAGTGAGGGGCCCACAAGGGAGTTTTCAGCATCGAGGGCTTCCATCAACTACGGGTACGCACAACACTCTTTCGGCTGCGACCGCCCCTCTGGTGGGTATCAGGAAATCTTCCGAGTGCGCACCAGCCGAGATAAGATTCCCCGGCTGGAGCTGAGGGCGAGCGAGCCTACATCATTGATCCCAATAGACACGTCTTGGCAAACACTGAAAGGATGCTTTAACCTGACTAGGGCAAGCACGCGAACAAACTTGTGGGTTGGTCGAAGAACCAAATAAGGGAGATCAAGATTTAGCAAGATTGCAAGATACCGTAATCTGCGCGATTTTTACCCGTTGGTTCCGAGCTGAGGGGATTTCCAGAATTGGACTCTCTTCTTATGAGAGGTGGACCTAAGAGCTCTTGTAAAGGTAACCCGTTGAGCATCCCAGCCACATTATAACTAGTCCAGGGGAAATGTTCAATAATCACGGAACACTCTCGCTCGCCCTAAACAGTTGCGCAGTCCTTTTTTGGCATTGGTCAGTGTGAGATTCGCATTCGATTTGTCATTCATCTTGTCTATTACACACCTAATCGGTTGCTCAACTTTACTACTTGTGACTGTTGATCATTATGACTTGCTCTGATAATCAGACTCTGAGTCTGATCGAAGTCTGATTATGGTTCTTATCGCAAGTCGTAAGCTCTGGAGTGAGGATCTGCACAGCTGATATGGGGATAATGTCACCGCGGATGCGTCGGAACAGCGATCGGCGTCAGCCCACAAGGTCGGTAATGAGACTTGCCCAGTATTCAATCACTCGGAACCTATAGATTAGCGAATGACTAGCCAATGACAAATCAGGCCTCAGCCACAATGCTACCGGATCACGATGGTCTGTTGCAAGTTGCGGTTGGCAACTCTGTGATATTCGAAGCTTGAGCCTTCCTCACCACATACCGCTACTGCTAGGCTCCGCCATTAACTAATTCGTAATGGACAGAACAAGGACGGAGTGTCACTGTTATCTGAGACATGACCCTCAGGTTCTCGAACATATACGTAATGTCGATATATTGTGACATAATTATACATACTCTTCAAGATCGAAGGGATAGGCTCTGAGAGATAGAGCGAGCATGACTTATGCAATTTCATCATCTACGAGGGACAAGCGTGTCACCACACAGTGTCACAATGCAGAAATATTGCCAAAATACTGCGGGGTGATCAAATATCCAACGAGAACATCGTGATCAACAAGTGTTGATTTAACACCTCCCAGAATCTATCTGCCTGTGACAAGCCAGCCTAGACCCACGATTTTCGCTTTTCCTACCTTCATAGTGTTCAGCCCTTAGCACACAATCCCTAGTAGTGGTTCAAAAATCAGATCTTAAATTTACTCAATAGCGACCCGTCCTATGTAACAGGGCCGCTCTTCTTTGGAAGTCGGTGCGGCTCTTAGTGGAGCGCATTTGGAGAAGTAACATGAGTCTCGGAGGGGTGATGTTGTAGTTGACTTCCGCCCATAAATGTCTCTTAGTCCCGAAGAACTAGCCTCCTTCAATGACAATGGCTTCCTCGTTAGAAAGGCTTTTGCAACAGCAGAAGAGGTAGTCGCCTTTTGCTCGGTCTGGGAGGAGTCTACTTTTGCCTACCCAGGTGCAGGAGATGAAGGAAGAGATGGCAAAGCTGCTGGAGGGTTGGGATCCCGAGGACAGCGTGGATAGTGTCTTCACTACAGGGAGGGACCAGCATGTTAACAACGAGTAGTACCTCTGTTGGCACTCCACAGCTTGCTTCGCGAATCTGCGAGGGGATTTTTAAGTGGCGTCCTGAGGGGGAATTGTAGGTACTTCCTCGGTAGTGCGGATCATATAAGATTCTTTCTGGAGCCAGGCGCGGTCAACGAAAATGGCAAGGTGGATAGCGGATGCCACTTCTCCCATGAGCTACGTAAGCTCAGATACGGTCGGACATTCCGAAGTCGGAGCTAGTGAATAAAGTAGGGCATTCTTTGCACGTTGATGACCCTGTTTTTCACAAGTAAGCTGACTCGAGTGACCCACTGAGGACCTTTCGAGGTAGGTATAGCAATTCCCGTAAAGTGTTGGAGATGGTTCGCGATCTCGGCTATCAGGATCCTGTTCTGCCACAATCTATGTATGTCCTCATCTGGGTAGTAACTCTGTTAGAGCACGACAGGTACATCTTCAAGCAACCATTGATTGGTGGCGCAGTGACTAGCCATCAGGACTCCTCATTCCTCCACACTACGCCCAGACAGACCTGTTTGGGCATGTGGTTAGCCTTGGACCCAGCTACCCTAGAGGTAACACTGGCTCCTTGTGTACTATGATAATCTGTCCTCATCATAGAATGGCTGCCTTTGGGTCAGACCAGGAAGTCACAAGGAGCCTTTAAGGCGATTGTTTGCTAGGACCCACGAGGGAGGCGATCCCCACTTCAAAGATATCAACATGGACAGCAAAGGTAGCAACAGGAGTCATGGTACCCCTGAGGATCACTGCGAACTGTTTAGCATCTCCTGCAGTAGTGTGGGAGGGAGAGCTGCCAGCCAACGATAGAGATGGTCTTAAAGCGAAAGGCTTCATACCGGTTGAGGTCGATGCAGGGGATCTAGTGGTCTTCCCTGGTATTGAAGGTCATTGATGTCGCTGTTAATTATGAGTACGGTGGTAGGTACGGTCGATCATCTCTCCCTACCTAATACGTCACCCAAACAGAGGCATACGTGAGTTTTGGTACTCCTAGTTAAATAGTGACGGGATTCACCAGATACCAGCTTCATCTCGTCGAGGGTCCTGAGGCTGGCATCACCTGGTCTAAAGAGAACTGGCTGCAATATCCTGCGGGGAAGCCCTTTCCCTCCCTCAAAGCGTGACGGCCTTATCCGTGTTGGTGCCGTCGGCTCGTAGTTTATCATCATTGCAGTATGCGATATTTACTTTTTATCATAGTGAATCTAAATTGTTATCGACAGTTTCATGGTTTCCTTAGTGTGGTGTTTGCGTTTAGTATGTGCAATTGATCACCCATTGGGCTGCTGTTCGACACCACAGATCATGTTGACATTGACTTATAATACTAGCCAGAGCGTTACTATATGGAGGAAGAGGAATGAATACAACAGCAACAGTACAACCTCCTACTAGCCATAGCTAGGAGGGACAGATTTGGCCGACGGATTCCACAGCACACAACTATTGGACGATAGAGTGATCACAATGATGGAGTTGTGTAGGCGGTGTTGAAGGGTCGTTATGGTATTCATCATAATATAATTACAATATGGCTGGTTTAATATTATAAAAATTTTTTATAGATAATTTCATCTTGTATTAATATCAAAATAACGGTATTATATATTTAATTATTAAATATAATATATTGTATACAGCATCCCTATGTAGTAATATCTATCAATATCTACTGTTTTAAATGGTATATCTTTAATAATATACAAGTACTACGTTGTGACTTTGGGTTTTCTAAGTGGTCACTTGCCGTAGTTGAGTGAGTATTCGACATTATTGTTCTCATGTGGACTGACTGGCTCTACGGCTTTGGAGGCCTCTTGCTCCTCATCACTCTGATTAGCTACATCTTCAAGCGCGGAAAGTAGTGATTGGGATCGCCAATTGGGGAGCAGCTTGGTAATGTGTAGGTATCAATCAGTGGAGAGTCTTCATGTGTGCATACCAGGAGGAAGCAGCGGAATAGGCTTGGCAGTGGCGAAACGATGTGCTGCTGACGGAGCGAAGCGAGTCACCATTATTGGTAGGATGCCCTGTTTTAATTATCTGAAAGGGATCACTAGCGGTTTGCAAAACTGCGGTAGAATTCGCGACTGAGCTCGTGCGTGTCAGCTCGGCGAATGGAGGTTCTCGAGAAGGCCGCGAAGGAGATAAAGGAAGTAAACCCGGCATGCGATGTGGCTCTAGTGAGCTGTGACATCACTGATCCGAAAAAGGTGGACCAAATGTACTTCATATGATGATCGTGTGTCGACGCCTGAGCACTCGGATCAGGTTTGTGAAGGACATAGATGCTGACGAGATAGATTGGCTCATCAACTGTGCTGGGATGTCCCTCCCGGGTCTGGCAGAGGAGACCTCAGTCAAAGACATCATGGCTGAGCTCAATGTCAACTACCTTGGTCGGTTATCGAGCGTCTTATTCGAGTTGGTGAGTTGGTAGGCCGCCTTGCAATGGTTTTCTTCAGGTTCGGTGTTCATGGCACGCAAAGTGCTGCCGTCCATGAAAGAAAAGGGTCGGGGTCGCATCGCGTTTGTCAGCAGTCAAGCTGCCCAAATAGGAGTATATGGCTATGCGAGGTGGGGGGGAGGTAGGAGGTTATATCAATGAGCGTTCACTGTTCAGCTACTCTGGATCTAAATTCGCCATCCGAGGGTATGCCGAGACCCTCAGGCAGGAGACTGAGGTCCACAATGTGCAGGTGAGTAAGGGTAGACCCCTGTAGTATAACACTAAAGGAGGCGGAGCGTAGCTGCATAGTTAGGTATCTATAATATACCCACCAGACACGAGAACGCCAGGCTTTGAACATGAGAATACTCGGAAGCCTGAGATCACCAAGCTCATTTCGTCGACGAGCGGCTTAGTCGAGCCAGACACCGTAGCAGAGGCGCTTGTACACGGGGTAGGCCAGGCCTGCTAACTTCGTCACTACGCATATCTCGCCTCGTTAGGTATCTAGAGGGGACTTCAATATCTGGTGCGGCTTTGAAGGTTTAGGCTTGTCGCAGATCTCGGCAGGTGGGAGGCTGACCATTTCCTCCTCTTGTCTTGTGCATTTATATGCAGGTATGACCCCACCGAACTCCCTCCTGCATGGGGTCTTCCAAGCGCTCGGTGCGAGCCTGCTGAAGCTCATATCATTCCTCGTCGTCATGCAATTAGACTGGGCTGTTGGTGCAATGAGAAGCAGCCTTACAAGAGGCCTGTCACCAAGTGGGATTGAAGTTAGCACACAATTCGCTCTACCTTCC